TTTAGATTTTTCTTGAAACAGAATTCAGTAGGGTTGAGGAAAAGGCATTGGGCGTGAGTCAGTGGGTCGGTGGTATGTTGAACATGTTCTTCTGGGGAAAGCCCTGACAGGAGGAATTTTCCAGCACTCCTGTGGCGATGAGTCTGGAGCGCCCACCTGACTTGGTGGAATGTGAGCTTGCTGAGAAACGAGACAGTGAGTGTACTGACCCAGAGCCCAGGAGCATGAGTTTCCTCCATGCTACTTCATGCTCGGAAAAGGCTTGCCTCTCTGCACCTAAAAGCCACCAGACTCTGGGTGAGCAGAAAAGGATGCTGAGGAGGACATTCTGTGGTGGAGGGATGCTAGAGTTGTAGTGGGACTGTGAGTAAGCCTGTCTGACTGGAAGCAAACGACCAAGACTAGGGAAACAGGCTGTAAGTTGATTTGAGAGCACTTGAAAACCAGTACAAGATGTCTGGAGTATGTTTTGAAGGTATCAAAGAATGCTGAAAATCTGACCAACGATTTTTCAAAATGGCACCTTCAGGAAATAAGTCTGGAGGCAAGACACAGAATTGATTGAGGTGGTGGGTCTAGAATTAGGGGTGTTGAATGGGATGGAAGTTGGAGAGGTGGGCATGGTACACCCATAATTGCGGCAATTGGCAGGCCAAAGCAGGAGTATTGTGAGTTGAGGGTAGCCTGTTGCACAGTAAGATACTTGGGGTTGGGGGTGGAGGGGACGAGGTGCAGAAAACTAGGTCTTTAGATCAAGGGAGGGGCTGAGGGTGTGGCTCAGTGAGAAAACATTTATTTGCTCAGCACAGACTGGTTCCTGGGTTCAGTACTGAGCACTAAATACACAAGTGGCATATAGAAAAATCATACTGTTTTTAAGTATATTTGGCTTCCCCAGCTCCCTTTCCTGTTACCCCAGAACTTTCCCCCAGCTCTATCCCTAGCAGCCTGGCCTTAACCCCTCTTGTCCATCTTACAAATCACAAGGGTGTGTTCATGACTTTAAAACTGCCATGGCCACAGTCACAGGTCCTCTAGACATTGCGTAGTTTCTGTTCCCTGTGCAGTGGCTGTGCTTCTAATCCATGTTAGCTTCTAAAAAGTGCTCATTGGGTTGGAGAGATGGCTCAGCGGTGAAGAGCAATGACTGCTCTTGCAGAGGACCAGGGTTCTAGTCCCAGCACCCATATGGTGGCTAACAACCATCCGAAACTCCAGTTACAAGGGATCCAACGCCCAGCTGTGTTTCTGTTTGTTTAAACATTCTTTCTACAATGAAAACTGAATTTCAGTCACAAAATTTGGTAGTAGAGGGGCTGGAGAGATGGCTCAGTGATAAAGAGCACTGACTGCTCTAGCAGAGGATCCAGGTTCAGTTCCCAGCACCCACATGGCAGCTAACAACTGTCTTGTAACTCCATTTCCAGGAGACTGGATCTAACACCCTCTTCTGGCCTCCATGGGCATTGCAGTTAACAAACATGCAGGCAAAACATTTATACACATACTTTATTTACATAAAGTAAATAAATAAAAAATTAGTAGTGGAAAATATATATTTGAAATAATTATCTGGACCCATTTTAATTTGGTATTGGCAGAAGTATGTGGCTGAGTGATCAAGGGATGGATTTGGATTTCTGACATGGCTTTTCTGTAGACCAGTATCAACTGGGCTGAAATGCAGCTTGTAGCACTCTGGGCAGTGTGACAGACAGGAGGTCAGTGGCAGTTCTTCAAATGGAACCAGGGCATTGGTAAACTGTGTTACAGCCCCTGCACGTCGATATGAAATTGCCAATCAAAATTAGCTTTTCTCTCTAGTTTTCAAGTTTCCCCGCTTGTTATTTTCTTTCAGAAAGCAGAAAGGAAATGGGAAGAGAAAAGGCAAAATCTAGACCACTATGATGGGAAAGAGTTTGAGAAACTCCTGGAAGAAGCCCAGGCAAACATCATGAAGTCAATTCCAAACCTGGAGATGCCGCCAGCCTCCGGCTCAAAGGGAGACACCGTGGCAGACAAGCTGGAGCTGTCAGGTGAGGGATGTAGAGATGTGCAAGCTCACTGTCCTCATCAGAGTGGTGTCACACACATGAGCTCCTTCAAGACAACAGTACTATATGCTATGCCTCATCTTTTAAAAGTTACTTATTGTATGTGTATGAGTGTTTTGCCTGTATGGATATAAGTGCAGCACATGTGTGCAGTACCCATGGTAGCCAGAAGAGGGCATCAGATACCCTGGAACTGGAGTTACAGAAGTTTGTTAACCACCATGTTGAGTGCTGAGAACTGAACCCAGGTCCTCTGCAAGAGCAACCAGTGCTCTTAACTGCCGAGCAGTCCCTCCAGCTCTCATGTCTCCCTTAAGAATCTGCCTGGGGGGCCTATGAGATGGCTCAGCAGGCAAAGGCACTTGCCAACAAGCCTGAGGACCTGAGTTCCATCCTTAGCATCCATGTGATGGAAGGAGAGACCCAACTCCTGCAAGTTGTCCTCTGATTGCCATACATTAGCTATTAGACAGCAACCCCCCCACACACATACGCATACACACACACGCATACACACACACACATACGCATACACACACACACACACACACACATGCACACACACTAAAATTGTTAAAAAAGAATCTGCCTGGAGAGGGCAGTGCCCTGGAAGGGTTGATAATCTCCCAAAGCTGTTTTCCTCCTCGAGCCTCTGGGAAGTTTCTGAACTGCCTCACTACATCTCTACCTTGAATAGCTGCCCTCCCCCTTTATTAACTTTTTCACACAATGTGTTTTATGTAATTTTCATAATTGTTCCTTCTGTTTATATAATAAAAATATATATCATATTAACTTTCCATTTTTCCCTTTCAGATTAAAAAATTCTTGCATCGGTTTTTTTTTTTTTCAGTTACTAGCAGAAGTATTTTTACTCAATTAAAATAATCAGTTTTTCCCTTTTACAAAAATTTTAAGCCGGGCATGTTGGCGCACACCTTTAATCCCGGCACTTGGGAGGCAGAGGCAGGTGGGTCTTATCTTTGTGAGTTTGAGGCCAGTCTGGTCTACATAGGGAGTTCCAGGACAGCTGGGGAACAAGGAGACCCTGTTTCAAAAAGACAAAAAAAAAAAATTTAGTAGATGAACTGAATTCTTCTCAGGAAGAGTTTTCTATTGTGCAGACCACTCAAAATGTATAAGGTCATCTCTACCTGTAAAGGTAGGTTTCTATCTTTGTATTTGTCAGGAATGTTGTTTTTATGCATTTTTACTAGTGAGATAAAAGTACACATATGGCCAGGCATGATGGCACACGCCTATAATTCCAGGACAGCTGGGGCTACAGGGAGACCCTGTCTCAAAAAGACCAAAAAAAAAATACACATATGAAAAGTACACTTCATTTCTTCTTGTGTATATTTTTTGGTTTGGGGTTTGGTTTGGGTTTGTTTTGTTGTTGTTTTGGGTTTGGGGTTAGTTGGTTGTTTTTATATTGTTTTTTGTTAAGAGGGTCTCCCTTAGCCCCAGCTGGCCTGGAACTCACTATGTAGACCAGGCTGGCCTTGAACTCATAGAAATCTACCTGCTCTGCTTCCCAAGTTCTGGGTTCTTATATATGTTGTCCAACTTAGTTGTAGCAACCCCTGCATGGACACACAAAGCCCAGGCAGCCCTCCCAGGCTGGGCTGGACCTCCCCAGGAACTGCAGCAGCCTTGAAGCCACATCCTCTCCCACATAGAAGCACTTGCTTTCCACTCTGGTGATTTTCCCAGGTCTTCGTTACAACTTGAAGTAGAAACTCAAGAAGCTCCTCAAAACAATGTCTCAGTCTCTCAGAAAATAAAAATGAATATGCCCTTAAGCGCCCAGGCCAGGTCCCAAGAGAGTTAGGCGAAAACTCCAGCTCCTGAGTGGCAGGATATATGGGTCTCAGGTAGAGAAGGGCAAAGCCAGGCTGTTAGGTTCGCTTTTGAGTGAGAAATGCCTTTTCCTTCACACAAGGGCAAGCTGAGTGATCCATGTGTCTCCTAACTACGGTGTTAATCCAATTTATGATATTTTCTCTCATTTCTCCCATTCTGCCTTCTATTTAGAATCTTTCCTAACCCCTCAGCCACGACCCTCCTCTCCAGAGTCCCACTTCCTCTTCAGCTTTATCCCCATTTCCTCTCTACCCCACACCCCTCTTTAGCTAGAGTCTATTCTAACAGCTTTGCAAATTCCTCTTGATAATGCCCTTCACTCCTCAGGCTGGGAGTGAAGGCTCTGGAGGCCTTGCAAGGGCTTTTAGATTTGTCTTCAGCTTCCCATCTTTTCACTTTCCCAGGTGTTCCTCAGGGGTTTTTATGGAACAAGAGCTTTATTTAAATCTACTTATCTGTACTGCGATCACAATAAGCCAATAGCAGCTGTGTGTATGTGTATGGTGTGTGGTGTGTGTGTGTGTGTGTGTGTGTGTGTGTGTGTGTGT